AGATGTGTATAAGAGACTGATATAGGCCTATACGTGCATGTTACACATACAGACCAGTCTACGAAGTTTACGTTGTCGTTTGGTGACACCTTTGCAACAATATTCAAAAAAAGTTGACTGTACCAAGCGTATTCAATTTCACTATGAGATTATGTATAGGACTACACTGTTAAAAAGGCAAGGAGGGAGACATAAACACCACACACTTTTCTCCAACTTTTGGTGACATGTTTAAAAGCTAAACGTGTTTAGTTATAGCCTAATATTTAGGATCTTGACGTGATTAGGTGTTTTTACTGTGTATATTAATTTCATACTTTGTACTTCACAAATATTTACAGCAAATCCCTCTGGGCATGTGCAGGTAAATCCATTCACTTGGTCGTTGCACGTTCCATTGTTTTGGCACGGTGCTGTGGCACAATCATCAATGTCAAAAAACAGAAAAAATATATTTCTACATATAAAATGGTATTTACACAATTACAAAAAACCAAAAAAAAAAAAAAAAAAAAAAAAAATTAAAAAACAAGGCAATAACAATAACAACTTAAAAACAACTAACAAACCAACTAAAACTAACCATGCCTCTCGCAACATCACCAAAACACATATAGCCTCGAAAAAACCAAATAAGACATCAAAAATAGCAAAAACAAATTAGAATCAACTTAAAATCAATTAAAAATATCAAAATTAAATAAAATAAAGATTACCAACATATCGCCTCATCCTTCAAACAAAAGCCATAAAAAAAGGGGAAAAAAAGCCGCCAATAACAACTTAAAATCAACTAAATTAAACGCATAAAAATATAAAAATAATTTGGACCAGAAACTTAATTCGTTCAAATTCCCATTGTAAAGCTAAAAATTACAGATGAAAGTGAATAAATTTCGGTTCAAGAGCTCTACATGGACCAAACACGCTAAGGCTCCCCAAGCTCTGAATTAGGCATATGGGGCGCCACCAGTGATTATTTTGATTGTTAAGCCCTAATAATGTTGGCTCAGACCTCAATTTTGGACCATCCTAAGCCATAAATTCTTTCCCATGAGAGTCCTAATGCCACCACATGTTTTATTTTACCCTGATGCTCAATGCGGCTCTCGGGCGGATGAAACCCTAAATTGTATTAAGAAAAATAATTGTATTGTATCGTTGATATATCTATTTTTATCATTATGAACATAGCACCAGTAAGATGTTTAAATAATAATAATAATAATAATAGATGGATTTATATAGCGCAAATAAACGAGGTCTCTATGCGCTAGACAATAATGAAGTCAAGAACACAAAGAAAAAAGCCGGGAAAAAAAACCACCAAGCTAGCACCCAAACCGAAGTATGGGGTTACACCATCACCGCCAACCGGAGATCTGTGTTTATGTACTCCGGTTAGCATCGGTTAAGTCTTGATCTTTTCTGGGATCAGGTGCCTCCTAACCTGGAACAAACAACACTAGCTAGCAAGGTGAAATAGAGAAAAAGAAAAAAGAAAACAGTAGCTATAAAGAGGCAAATAAAAAGGTTTTGAGTCGCTTTTTAAAGATGTCAATAATATATGAATATGATAATATGAATATGTTTAAAGATATGAATATGTTTAAAGTATAAGATGTTTAAAGTATGAGTATGAATATGGACATCAGCACCCCACTGAACACAATCCACGCGGCACTATATAACACACAAATAAATCTTATTGCCTGAGTCATATACAAACTTCCAGTGTAAATAACACAAATCATACATACCATTCTGACAATTGGTTCCTGAATAGCCGACCTGGCAGTCGCAAGTGAAGCCGTCGACCATGTCTATACAACTACCATTATTTTGACACGGCGTACTCGCACACTCATTGATTGCTATTTTGAAATTCAAACATAATAATTTAATTATTCTCTTCGCAGAGCTATTTCAAAACATAATTATTTTTTAGAAAATCAACAATCAAAACATACGGGTATCACAATCGTTGCCTTCGTATCCAGAAGCGCATGTGCACGTGTAACCATTGAAATCATTTTCACACGTTCCCCCGTTTAGGCATGGCGAGCTATCACATGGTGCTACAAAGAGACGAAAACAGTAGAATTAAGCACATAAAGTACCACCATTAACAACCACAAAAATGATAATGATGGAAATACTTATACTTTATAGTAAAAGTAAAAGTGTAACAAATTGTCATAACAATGTAATAATAACAGAAGAAAAACAAAAATAAAATCGTACAGAAAAATATGAAGAAAATTAAAAAGTTGAAACAGATAAAAACCAATATGTAGAATAATGTCATATAGTGATAACATCGTAGATATGTTTTTTTATTTAGACAATGTTTGAAAAAGATTCAAGCACGGAAACTGACCAAAGTGCCGGTCAAAAAACTCTGCAAAAATAGGAAAACGGGATGGAAGAAAAATAAATTAGAAAAAAAACACAACGGCTATTTCTAAAAAAAAAATCATGTAAAAAAGAAAAACAGGGAGACTAACTCGACGTTAGTAGTACTCGATCTATAGTTGCAATGATACCGGTGGCCTACTAGTCCTAGTACTGGTAATGTGTATTTAAATTGCACCTTTCCCTGCGGTTAGGAAGCTCAAGCCAAGCCTCAATTATTTAGGGAAACAGTGGCAGGCATGAAATTTTTCATCATTCAGGAACCCTATACATCACAATAGTACAGTCTCACAAACAAAGACCAACTAATACAGATTACTACAATTAAACACAAAAATGAAAATACAGAAGAAAGTGACAGTTTGGCAATTGAAGTAGGTCTTGAGTGCACAATTTAAATAATTATGATCTGATGGTAATAGCAAAGGTGATATGGAGACTCATTTGTGCACTATATGAGCCGACCCTGCATAGGTCAGTGCATATTTAGTATTTAGTTCATAATGATTCAGTGATTGAAAGCGAAAATTGTTCATGCATAACACGCTAATTTTGTGTTTAATCTAGCTACAGATGGTTTAAACGTTTAAAAGTTTAACTAACTGTCCAATAAAATTGTTAATGGTGCACACCCTACTCCGGATCTCTGGGACGTCTACAGTCAAATGGCCCTCATGTCCACACAATACTCCGGATAAGACAGTAAAGTACATACTCCAAGTATTGAAATGCACGCCATCGTGTTGGGATTCAATATTTCGACATTAATTACGTCATCATCAGGAATGATGATCGTCACCAAATTGTATTCATTTTTTTTTTATTGGACCATGGCAAACCATCCCGCAAAAGTTTATTTTGAGATATTCTTGTCTGGGACGTTAGCACTTTAAATGACCCTCAAATTCACACCCAAATCCGGTTCGACACCACAATTTAATAATTTCTTCGTTTTCTTTAAATTTTCACTTAGATCAGTTGATCAGTTTTTGAAATAGTTGTTCTTGGAAGTTTCCTTTAAATGATCCTCATATCCACACCTTACTTCGGATGGTCACCAAAATTTAAACATTTCTTTATTGGACCATGACAAAATATTACAAAAAATTTCATTTAGATCCATTAATCCATTTTGATCACTATCCAAGCATGGAGAGTGATAAAAGTGCTGGGCATAAAAACCCTGTGCAAAAAGATAGGAAAAACTATATGAAAGAAGAAAAAAAAAACAAGAATAAAAACAATGGTTTTTCATGCTGCTACTGCTAGGAAAGTCAATTATGTAAATTAATACTGTAATTACTAGATGCAGGCGTCTGGCAATTAGTTCCAGTAAAGTTACTGTTGCACTGACAAATGTAGAAGGGACTAAACGTAGTAGGCCTACGTATACAGTTTCCACTGTTCTGGCATGGATTTGGATTACACGCATCTATAATCAAAAAAGAGAATTATAACAAAATTCTTAAATAATAAAACCGTATCAATTTAACTTACAAAATAGAATCCCCTATAGAACTATCCATTCATAGTCGATAATTTGAACGGTTTTATTAACATTTAAAACATGTGTTGTTATTATATTAAAAAATCCATGATATGGTATTCTCGCACATCAATGTTCTGTAGGCCTACACTATGCAATTTTAAATTAATGTGATCGTTTACGGGTTAATAGACACTTAAACAGAACTTATTGTATGAAGGCACTAGAAAAATGTAATTGCAGAAATGCATTTAATCGTAAGGATAAATAGAATTACCAATTTCACAATTAACACCAGAAAACCCTGATGTACACAAACACACATAGGAGTCAAATGTTGAGGACACAAAGCATGTGCCAGAGTTCAAGCAAGGGTCCGACGAACACACATCTAGGCCTATGTAACGAAATTAAAGAAACTGTTATTAGCTGCATTCACATCAAATCAGAACCGAATTCCGGACCGCGTTTCCGATGCACTGAACGCCAGCGTCACTTTTCTTACACACTGATTCGATTTTCTGATTGGTTCGGCAGGCCTTCAATCGGCAAATTCGGATTCGGTGTGAATAAGTGAGGCTTTCGAAACATAGTCTACAGGACATATTTTTAAATAAAAACATAAAAGATCATTCATTAATACACAACTTATTATTATGGCAGATAGAATCACTTTTTTTTTTTTCAAAAGGTTGATGCGGCTGAAAAGGCGTTTTAAATTCTAAATACCAGATTGGAATTTTTTGTACCATAAATTACGGTAACATTCATAGATCTAGAGAGAGACATGGAGGTGGGGGGGGGGGGAGAAGGTAGACCTGCCACAAGTCCCTTATTATTATTATTTCTTATCATTCTGGACAGTGCCACCATCAAGCAAGTTAATTTTAAGACAGAATAAGGAACATGTATGCAGGTCACTGATCTCTACTATGTATAATAGCTGGATTGCACATTGGCTGGTTTTAGTGAGGCCACCGACGCCATGTTGGGAGGCCTACGTATCATTTTAGGCCTAGCTCAGACTTGGAGATATGCCAGGCTTGAGTTAAGCCGGCTTAACTTTGCCGGGCGTTCAGACTAGCGGGTTTAGCCAGGCGAGAATTTGCATAATAATGAACCGTAACCAGGAAGCAGGTAAATCCATTCACTTGGTCGTTGCACGTTCCATTGTTTTGGCACGGTGCTGTGGCACAATCATCAATGTCTAAAAAAAAAACAGAAAAAAATATATTTCTACATATAAAATGGTATTTACACAATTACAAAAAACAAAAAAAAAATATAAAAAAAATTAAAAAACAAGGCAATAACAATAACAACTTAAAAACAACTAACAAACCAACTGAAACTAACCATGCCTCTCGCAACATCACCAAAACACATATAGCCTCGAAAAAACCAAATAAGACATCAAAAATAGCAAAAACAAATTAGAATCAACTTAAAATCAATTAAAAATATCAAAATTAAATAAAATAAAGATTACCAACATATCGCCTCATCCTTCAAACAAAAGCCATAAAAAAAAAAGGAAAAAAAAAAAAGCCGCTAATAACAACTTAAAATCAACTAAATTAAACGCATAAAATATAAAAATAATTTGGACCAGAAACTTAATTCGTTCAAATTCCCATTGTAAAGCTAAAAATTACAGATGAAAGTGAATAAATTTCGGTTCAAGAGCTCTACATGGACCAAACACGCTAAGGCTCCCCAAGCTCTGAATTAGGCATATGGGCCGCCATCAGTGATTATTTTGATTGTTAAGCCCTAATAATGTTGGCTCAGACCTCAATTTTGGACCATCCTAAACCATAAATTCTTTCCCATGAGAGTCTTAATGCCACCACATGTTTTATTTTACCCTGATGCTAAATGCGGCTCTCGGGCGGATGAAACCCTAAATTGTATTAAGAAAAATAATTGTATTGTATCGTTGATATATCTATTTTTATCATTATGAACATAGTACCAGTAAGATGTTTAAAGTATGAATATGAATATGTTTAAAGGTATGAATATGTTTAAAGTATAAGATGTTTAAAGTATGAGATGTTTAAAGTTTAAATATGAATATGTTTAAAGTATGAGTATGAATATGGACATCAGCACCCCACTGAACACAATCCACGCGGCACTATATAACACACAAATAAATCTTATTGCCCGAGTCATATACAAACGGCCAGTGTAAATAACACAAATCATACATACCATTCTGACAATTGGTTCCTGAATAGCCGACCTGGCAGTCGCAAGTGAAGCCGTCGACCATGTCTATACAACTACCATTATTTTGACACGGGGTACTCGCACACTCATTGATTGCTATTTTGAAATTAAAACATAATAATTTAATTATTCTCTTCGCAGAGCTATTTCAAAACATAATTATTTTTTAGAAAATCAACAATCAAAACATACGGGTATCACAATCGTTGCCTTCGTATCCAGAAGCGCACGTGCACGTGTAACCATTGAAATCATTTTCACACGTTCCACCGTTTAGGCATGGCGAGCTATCACATGGTGCTACAAAGAGACGAAAACAGTAGAATTAAGCACATAAAGTACCACCATTAACAACCACAAAAATGATAATGATGGAAATACTTATACTTTATAGTAAAAGTGTAACAAATTGTCATAACAATGTAATAATAACAGAAGAAAAACAAAAATAAAATCGTACAGAAAAATATGAAGAAAATTAAAAAGTTAAAACAGATAAAAACCAATATGTAGAATAATGTCATATAGTGATATATACATCGTAGATATGTTTTTTTATTTAGACAATATTTGAAGACGATTCAAGCACGGAAACTGACCAAAGTGCCGGTCAAAAAACTCTGCAAAAATAGGAAAACGGGATGGAAGAAAAATAAATTAGAAAAAAAACACAACGGCTATTTCTAAAAAAAATCATGTAAAAAAGAAAAACATGGAGACTAACTCGACGTTAGTAGTACTCGATCTATAGTTGCAATGATACTGGTGGCCTACTAGTACTAGTACTGGTAATGTGTATTTAAATTGCACATTTCCCTGCGGTTAGGAAGCTCAAGTCACGCCTCAATTATTTAGGAAAACAGTGGCAGGCATAAAATTGTTCATCATTCAGGAACCCCATACATCACAATAGTACAGTCTCACAAACAAAGACCAACTAATACATTACTACAATTAAACACAAAAATGAAAATACAGAAGAAAGTGACAGTTTGGCAATTGAAGTAGGTCTTGCGTGCAGTTTTAAATAATTATGATCTGATGGTAATAGCATAGGTGATATGGAGACTCATTTGTGCACTATATGAGCCGACCCTGCATAGGTCAGTGCATATTTAGTTCATGATGATTCAGTGATTGAAAGCGAAAATTGTTCATGCATAACACGCTAATTTTGTGTTTAATCTAGCTACAGCTGGTTTAAACGTTTAAAAGTTTAACTAACTGTCCAATAAAATTGTTAATGGTCCACACCCTACTCCGGATCTCTGGGACGTCTACAATTAAATGGCCCTCATGTCCACACAATACTCCGGATAAGAAAGTAAAGTACATAATCCAAGTATTGAAATGCACGCCATCGTGTTGGGATTCAATATTTCGACATTAATTACGTCATCATCAGGAATGATGATCGTCACCAAATTGTATTCATTTTTTTTATTGGACCATGGCAAACCATCCCGCAAAAGTTTATTTTGAGATATTCTTGTCTGGGACGTTAGCACTTTAAATGACCCGCAAATCCGGTTCGACACCACAATTTAATAATTTCTTCGTTTTCTTTAAATTTTCACTTAGATCAGTTGATCAGTTTTTGAAATAGTTGTTCTTGGAAGTTTCCTTTAAATGATCCTCATATCCACACCTTACTTCGGATGGTCACCAAAATTTAAACATTTCTTTATTGGACCATGACGAAATATTACAAAAAATTTCATTTAGATCCATTAATCCATTTTGATCACCATCCAAGCATGGAGAGTGATCAAAGTGCTGGGCATAAAAACCCTGTGCAAAAAGATAGGAAAATCTATATGAAAGAAGAAAAAAAAAAACCAGAATAAAAACAATGGTTTTTCATGCTGCTACTGCTAGGAAAGTCAATTATGTAAATTAATACTGTAATTACTAGATGCAGGCGTCTGGCAATTAGTTCCAGTAAAGTTACTGTTGCACTGACAAATGTAGAGAGGGCTAAACGTAGTAGGCCTACGTATACAGTTTCCACTGTTCTGGCATGGATTTGGATTACACGCATCTATAATCAAAAAAGAGAATTATAACAAAATTCTTAAATAATAAAACCGTATCAATTTAACTTACAAAATAGAATCCTCTATAGAACTATCCATTCATAGTCGATAATTTGAACGGTTTTATTAACATTTAAAACATGTGTTGTTATTATATTAAAAAATCCATGATATGGTATTCTCGCACATCAATGTTCTGTAGGCCTACAATATGCAATTTTAAATTAATGTGATCGTTTACGGGTTAATAGACACTTAAACAGAACTTATTGTATGAAGGCACTAGAAAAATCTAATTGCAGAAATGCATTTAATCGTAAGGATAAATAGAATTACCAATTTCACAATTAACACCAGAAAACCCTGATGTACACAAACACACATAGGAGTCAAATGTTGAGGACACAAAGCATGTGCCAGAGTTCAAGCAAGGGTCCGACGAACACACATCTAGGCCTATGTAACGAAATTAAAGAAACTGTTATTAGCTGCATTCACATCTAATCAGAACCGAATATCGGACCGCGTTTCCGATGCGCTGAACGCCAGCGTCACTTTTCTTACACACTGATTCGATTTTCTGATTGGTTCGGCAGGCCTTCAATCGGCAAATTCGGATTCGGTGTGAATAAGTGAGGCTTTCGAAACATAGTCTACAGGACATATTTTTAAATAAAAGCATAAAAGATCATTCATTAATACACAACTTATTATTATGGCAGATAGAATCACTTTTTTTTTTTTCAAAAGGTTGATGCGGCTGAAAAGGCGTTTTAAATTCTAAATACCAGATTGGAATTTTTTGTACCATAAATTACGGTAACATTCATAGATCTAGAGAGAGACAGGGAAGGGGGGGGGGGAGAAGGTAGACCTGCCACAAGTCTCTTATTATTATTTTTTTTTTCATTCTGGACAGCGCCACCAACGAGCAAGTTAGGGGGGGGGGGGAAGAAGGTAGACCTGCCACAAGTCCCATATTATTTTTTTTTTCATTCTGGACAGCGCCACCAACGAGCAAGTTAATCTTAAGACGGAAAATCCGTAACAAAAGAAAAAGAGTATGGAACGCCAAATAAATTATTTATGACGCGCATTAAGTGCAATAAAGAGTGAGTAATCAAAAATTAGGGCCTAGAACCCATGCTAAGGGGGAAAGAGAACACAGTGCGCCCTCGAATTCACCGTTGAAATAGTCAAAATACAGGAAGATTTTGATGGCAGATGCGGTGGTAAGTGATTACAATTCGTTCTATAATATTTGAATGTTTTTATTTGTGTACGGTATTAACTGCACACACAATACATAGCCTACACATATCAGGTTTAACACTGGTAGAAGTTTACAAAAATAATATGAATAAATCTGTTTTAATAGATTTAAACAACTATTGTACACTATAACTAACAAAAATAATTATTTTTTAAATAATCAACAGTATATAGGCCTAATAGGTCTGCTTTAGTGTAGAATGGTTTGTATTTTTGGTTTTATGTTTTTAGTGCAGTCTTTATTGCTTGGCTTCTGTCCTTTTATTCTAAACATTTTCAAAACATTTCAAGTTTTTAGTCAACAATTTTATCGTTAAAGCTTTTAAATTCTGGTTTTACCTCAAATGTTGTACTTGCAAGTCATGATTATAATTAAGAAAATCAATGTCATCATATTATGCGCTTTGTAAGTCTCCACCATTACCATTAACATTACCATCTATAATTTTTTTTTTTAAAGTAATGTAGGAAATAAAAAATTGATCAGATACAGGCGTCTGGCAGTCAGTTCCGGTAAATTCACAGGTGCACTGACAATAATAGCGAGAGTTAGTAGTAGAAGTATGCATGCAATTCTCCCCGTTTTGAAAACATCTAATAGTATAAGAAGCAAAACATGAAAAAAATGAGCTCTTATACCGTAAAACCTCGAATAGAACCCTGGGCTTCTTCTTTCCTTATTTTTTTCGAGATTACTTTTGCAAACTAAAAAGGGGGGCTTCTTTTCAAAATGAATGCTGTAAATTTTGGAATTGCTACTATACAAAATTGTTCAACTATGAAATTGAAAATTCTGTTTAATTGTTTTTTAATTTAATTTTAACCATGCTAGTACAATAAAATTCTATTGATACTGACACTATCATAATCATCAAAGATAACCTCTGAATGTAAGTAGGGCCTACTATCTCGAAAATAGCCCATACTATCAAATTATTAGAAGCCAATGGGCTTCTTTTTGAGATTACTTTTTGCAAACTGAAGAGGGAGTGGGATTCCTTTAGAGATTGGCTTCTCGAGCTCAAGCCCATGGGCTTCTTTTCGAGGATTTACGATATTAAGAACTAAACTGAGGTCTATTATAAAGACAAAACACGTTTATCCTATACGTTATTTTTATGGGTAGGTATTTATCTATTTTCACAACAACGTTGAAAACAAAACCAATCGTATTTTTGGTTTTGTTTTTAGTGCAGTCTTAATCGCTTAGTTTATGTCCTTTTATTGTAAACATTATCAAACTATTTCAAATTTCAATTTTTAATCAACAATTATATCGTTAAAGCTTTTAAAAATTCTGGTTTTATCTCAAATGTTCACAATGTTTTACACCTTTTTAATCTGTAACGGCTTTGCTTGTATTTTAAACTTTATTATAATGGTTTTCATATGTTTATGGGTGATTGATTTTTAAGTATTACTGCGTATTTTGTCTTTGTGATTTTCGTTAAATTGTTTTTAAGTCTGTGGATTGTATTTTTTTTTATGGTGAACGCACCGCATGGTGTGCCACTGCCGCAAATTTGAAAAAAAAAACATTTGTCATGCCTAAATATGGTCATGATGATACCATGGTCACGATGACCATATAGGCAGAGCATGAGTAATTATGTAGGCTATATACAATATAGCATTACGAATAGACTCACCATTTTCACAATGATCACCAGAATATCCGGACTGACACAGACAAAAATAGGAATCCATATTTGTGGATGATACTAGACACATGCCAGAATTCATGCAAGGGTTCGGCATACACGGGGTTGTAGCTGTGTAACAAAATAATAGTGTTGGCTAGAAATATAAACAAACTTATTTATATACACTTTAACGGCTCGGACGTAAAACATATGCCAGAATTCATGCAAGGGTTCGGCAAACACGTAGAAGTAGCTAGATATATAAAATCATCAATATACTGTTT